ACTGTATACATTGAGGTGGCATGACATGAATTTTTTTTTTTTTAAAGGTGAGCATCGTGAGGGATTAGGAGGAGAAAAGTGAGGTCATCAACTGCCTGAGAGCTTGTAATGCTCTCCTGACAGAAATGTGAAGGAGCCCATTTGTTGCGGAGAAAATGTCTCCCTGGGAGCTCCTCGCCTCACCATGTGAATTATCTCTTCTTAGACTTATGAAGAGGCTTAATAGTGGTGTGCAGAACAGGCAAGGATTTTCATAATGACAGTGCAGGAGGAGAGGACAAAGATAGCATAAAAACGCTGAGGGAGATTCTACACCCAGAAAATAACTACCCTTGTTTCCTGTGTCACTTCCGCTCCACTGGGGGGACACTGAGAGCCCATTCAGTAGACTCAGTGGAGCGATGAACTGGAAGATTCTTTATCACAAGAGTATCCGCTTATCAGTGAAGGGCCTAGATGGAGTTTTGTGTTATTGTTGTTTGACCTTTGTTTTCTAAATGGATATAATTCATATACCATGAAACTCACCCTTTAAAAGTGCGCAATTCAGTGGTTGTCAGTATATCCGCAAGTCTGTACACCCATCACCACCATCTGATTCCAGAACATTTTCCAGGAAGGAATCCTGTACCCATTAGCAGTCACTCTCCCTGCCGCCCCCACAGCTGTTGGCAGCCATCAATCTACCTTCTGTTTCTACAGATTTACCTATTCTGGACATATCAGCTACATGGAAGCATATAATATGTGGCCTTTTATGTTTATCTTTTTTTTTTTTAAGATTTTATTTATTTGAGAGAGAGAGAGACAGAGAGACAGCATGAGTGGGAGGGGCAGAGAGAGAGAGAGAGAGAGAGAATCTCAAGCAGGCTCCATGCTGAGCGTGGAACTCAACATGGGGCTCAATCCCAGGACCCTGAGATCATGACCAGAGCTGAAACCAACGGACTGTGCCACATGGGCATCCCCTATGTTTGTCTTCTTTCACTTAGTATAATGTTTTGGATGTTCATCTAGGCTGTAGCCCGTGTCAGTATTCCATTTTATGGTTGAATAAGATCCTATTCTATGTATATATCATAATTTGTTTATCCAATAATCTGTTGTTGAAAGTCAGATTGTTTCCAATTTGGGGCCAGTGGGAAATAACACTGCTAGAAACATCCATGGATAAATTTTTGTGTGGATACATGTTTCCATTTCTCCTGTGTATATACCTAGAAGTAGATTGCTGGGTCCTACTGTAACTCTAAATCCAACCCTTTAAAATTTAACTCTAAATTCAATTTTTGGAGCACTTCGGACTGTTTTCCAAAGCGTTTCCATTTCCATTTTTACCTTCCTGCCAGCATTGTTTGAGGGTTGTGATTTCTCCATGTCCTCTTTACACCTTGTTATCATCTGTTTTTTGATTCCAGCCACTCTAGTGGGTGTCAGGCAGCATCTCAGTGTTTTGTCATTTCAGAAAAGGATCAAAGCCATCCATGTATATAGTGTAAAAAGACAAGGCTTGAAGAGTAAGTGCCCCATCTCTCTGCAGAACCATTTCCATGAGGCAAAGACTTTACATTCCTTTAGCGGTTTCTTTGAGTATCTGTCTTCGATTCCTGGTAATAGGCTTAAAATCAGTTTCTGATATTCTCTTTTGACGTCCACCTCTGGAGGATGGGCATTCGGCTCTCTTCTCTTCCCCCCGGGCGCACACAGACACACACTCACCATATCCTTCCATCTCCAAAACAGGATTATAATCTCCATGTTAGGATAAATCAATAATCGGCACTTACACTGTTACGACCACGTATTCACAGCTGTGTGGTATGTGATTATATTTACTTCATCACACTTTAACCCTTGGACTGCAGATGACATAGAGCAAAAATCTGCCTCTTTTCTTCACTGCCACCGTTTTCTGCATATTAATTACTCTCCACCCTTAAATTCTGCAAGAAAACTAAAACTCTCTGGGCATATTCAAACACATGGATATTCTACTGTTTCTTTCTTGGTCCTTTCCTGATTTTGTTTTGGTTTCTGGGAGACATTCCTCCAGGGCTCTCTGCTCTTCTCCTCTCACTGGGACAGCCTCATTAGGGGTCTGTGGCATTGCTGGGGTCCTGAGTCTCCCCTTCCTCATCCCGACTTCTCTCCTCGGTGGCCTCACCTGCTTCCTGGATCCCGTGTTTCCCTCTGTCTTCGTTTCATCCCTCACTTTCTAGCAGCACATCTTCCAGTAGCTTCTTTATTCCTCCATTCCTGCCTTTTGTGTTAAGTAGATATTTTTAAGGATACCACTGTAATTCCCTTGTTTATTTTTTAATTTTTTTTTAAAGATTTTATTTATTTACTTGACAGAGAGAGATCACAAGTAGGCAGAGAGGCAGGCAGAGAGAGAGGGGGGAAGCAGGCTCCTCACTGAGCAGAGAGCCTGATGTGGGGCTCGATCCCAGGACCCTGAGATCATGACCCGAGCTGAAGGCAGAGGCTTTAACCCACTGAGTCACCCAGGTGCCCCTCCCTTGTTTCTTTTAGTTAAGTTTTTTTGTTTTTGTTTTTTTAGTTCTTTTCTTAGTGATTGCTCTGGTGATTCTAGGTAACACCTTAACTTAAAACAATCTAGTTTAGACGAATACCAACTTCAAGTCGCTAGCATGCAAAGTTGTTTGTGACCGCTTTCATGCCACCACAGTGGAGGTAAGTAGTTGTGACAGGCGGTATACACGCAAGGCCTGGGAAGCCCAACATTGACTATCTGGCCCTTGATGGAAAACACCCTCTGATCCCCATCCAGGGCCCTGGTCTTTCACGATCCCATTCTCGGCCTCCTGCCTCCAAGCATTAAATTCTCGTTTCTCCTTTGAGCTCTCACTGGGTTTCTCCTTCCCTGAGACCAAAACATGAACTGCACGAGCTAAGGAACCAAATGAAAGGGCACAAGACAGTAGCAACAAAGTGAGAAAACCTCCTTGTGCCTCTCACTGTGTTTCAGATGCTCAAGATGCCATCCATCATGATTCCACACGAACTAGCTCTGCGGATGACTGCTGAGGCAAACCCGTGCATGTCCGCGGCTGGTTTCCTCCTCCCCGGCCTGGGCAGTGCATCACCCCACGTGTGGTCTGTGCCAGGCAGGCTTCGTGTCTGTCTGACCAGCATCCACTTCCCATCCTCTGGTAAGAGTTCTTTGATTTTTTTTTTTAAGTTCCTTTTTTTTTTTTTTAAGATTTTATTTATTTATTTGACAGAGAGAGAGAGAGCACAAGTAGGCAGAGGGGCAGGCAGAGGGAGATGCAGGCTCTCCTTTGAGTAGAGAGCCCGATGCGGGGCTTGATCCCAGGATCCTGGGATCATGACCTGAGCTGGAGGTAGACACTTAACCGACTGAGCCACCCAGGTGCCCTTAAGTAAGCTTTATGCCCAACGTGGGTCTTGAACTCATGACCCTGAAATCAAGGGTCACATACTCTACTTACTGAACTGGCCAGGCACCTCCCCCCACCCCAGGACCCTTCATTTTCTTCCTTTCTTTTTTTATTTATTTGGACCCTTCATTTTCAACAAAGGAAGAGTGAACTCTTCTGCTCTAGTTCAGGACCTGGACTAGTTTTAGTCTAATGCAGGGTCGATTTCAGAACTAAGAAGGAACCTCTCAAATTCAGGTGACTGCTTGACAGAATAGAAAAAAAAACTAATGGTTTCCAAAATGACTCAGTATGAAGGGGATGGCAACACCAAGTATAATTTATCAAATGCCTGATCAAGCACACTGTGAAGGTACCAGGGTGTAATTTCATGTTATAAAAGCATTCCTTGTACTTACCTGTTTTTCAAAGCATACTCGCACCCATAACTTCATCAGATTTGCCTAGGCTCCATTTTGATAAATGACCCACATCTCAAAGTTTTTTCGAAGCATAAAAACCAAAATATATTTTATAAATAATTACATATTAATTTCTTACACCTAAGAGCCCTAAAATGTTTATTTTTCTTCAACTCTGGTTTTGGGTCCCTGACATTTACTTATTTTGCTAGTCAGCTCTTCTCTCTTTTTAAAATAATTTTTAAGTAGGCTCCACACCCAGTGTGGAGCCCAACGTGGGGCTTGAGCTCATGACCCTGAGATCGAGACCTGAGCTGAGATCAAGAGTCAGCGGCTTCACTGACCGACCTCCCTGGCAGACCCCTGGCTCTTCTCAATTCTAGGCCACAAGCAAATAATTTTTGGTTTCCCAATTTTAGAGGAGCCCTGAGCTTTTTTCCCTAACTTTTTTTCTTTCCACCCCATTCTGGGCTGTGACTTGTCTACTTAACCTGCTTGTCCTTAATGAGGTGTCTTACATAAGAAGTGTCTGGCGTCCACGAGCTGAGTTTTGAACCCCCAGCACTGTTATGTCCTAGCATTATGGTCCTGAGCAGGTTTCCAAATCTGTAAAGCGAGGAGAGTAACCTGCCTCTTATAACCATTGTAAAGATTATATGAGATGTATGCAAAAGAGAGATAGTCAGCACATAGTAAACGTTAGCTGTTATTTGTGGCTAAAAGAATGAGTTCTGCCAGCCAGTGCTCCTTGCTCTTACGAGAGCCTTGTAAGAACCAGGAATTGCTACAGCATCCACAGTCTAAGCCCCATGAGACAGACTTTGTCTTGTTCATCGCTATAGCCCCAGCACCTAACAGATGACCGGCGCACCCAATAGGGATTTGGTACATGTTTCCTGAATGAATCAATGAATGAATACAGGTAATACAGGTATAATGCTACCTTCACCTATGGATGAGGAAACTGCGGCTCAGAGAGGTTAAGTGACTTGGATAAAGTCTCCCGGCCTGTTAGGGAAGGATTAAGATCTAGTCCCCCAGCCTGGGTTTTCTTCTCTTCTACCATATTACCTCCTCAGGCTCTTACCCCATGATCCAAAAATTCAGGCGCAGGATCTTTGTTACTCAATGATGACGTTCAAGGGGGCAAAAATGCTTCTGAAATTTTCAAACCTACCGTGGTATCCACAGCCTTGACTTTCTCAGTGGGAATGTGCTTTGGCGTGGGTTCTGTCTCTGACAGCGTCACACACCCTTCAGCGCCTAAGGTGACGATAACCACGTGGCAGCCCCTTCCCTTGAGCAACTGAGCGGCCCGCGAGGCGTCTGCAGGGCTGTGGACCTTCAGGCCAGTTAGGATCTCAGCCTGGGATACAGACAAGTGAGAGCAAACAGTGGTGAGAACAGGGACCTGGGTCCACTTCCAGATTAGATTTGCTTTTCTTAGAAAACATCTCCCTTCTTCTGCATAACAACCCATGCCAGGGGGAACGCTGATACTTACTGGCTCAGGGAAAGAAAGAAAAACCCCAGTAACAATGACAACAAAAAGGAGCTCTCAAGGACATTCTTGGGACAACTGGGGACATTCGAATGTGGCCTGGATGTTAAATGACAATAGAGAATTGTTACTACTTTCTCAAGTGTGATCACAGTATTGTGGCTCCTCTTAGAAGATGCGCACTGAAGTAGTTAGGAGTCACCTATCATGTTACCTGCAACTTTGAAACGATTCAACAAAAACAAAAAGCAACACACACAGGGGAGAGAGGAAGCAACATAGCAAATGTTAACAACCATCTGGGCGGACAGTAGATGATGGTTCATTGCACTGTTCTTCCAGATTTTCTGTGTGTATGTGTGATAATTTTCATCAAAAAGAGTTAGGGGGAACAAAGAATTCTGTAGGAGAATGGAAGAGGGGAGAGAAGATGGGAGAAAGGGAGGGGCCGCTGCCAGTGATTTTGATAGAAATCGAGCCTGTAAATTTCACACCTAAGGCTGTAATTCTTCTAGGCCCCTCTTGGGCCATAATGCCTTTCTCTTACTACTTAGCTACGGCTTCCCATGTTTGTACAACACCCATTTCTTGTGTCTGTTTTTGCTCAAGAATATGGAAGCGGGTAGGAGGGTCACTGATGTAGCCGAGAGCGCAATGTGCTGACATTCAGGAGATGTCCACTGCTTACTGACCCTGGGACTTCCCCCAAGTCACGTACAGTCTGTAGAATGAGGGGCCTGCACAGCGCCACAGTTCTCTCCGAGAGCGTGAAAAGGGCTCTGCCTGAAGTAGGGGGGAAGGACTGCAGCCCCGCTTCCTCATCCCCTAGGCACCTCTGGGGACCTTCTCCAGCTCTGAAATTAGTGGCTGCAAAATTACTAGACTAGATGAATTATAGGATACTTTTGGACTCACAACGTTTATAACTAAATTCTGTCTTTTCTGTATTCCATTTCTTCCTAAGAAAGGGTCTGTTTCTCCTGTGCCTGCTCTGAACCTGTCCGGATTAACCCTGCCTGGGGCCTATATATCACCCCGCAGTGTCTGCTCGTTCTGGGCTTTGGTCTTCCCCAGCAGCAAAGGTTTCATTCACTTGACCAATGTGTCCTTCCTGAAGCGGCTTTTCCGCAGACCCTTTCTGTCTGAGATGGCTATGTCTTGAGGCCACCTTCTGTTTTCTCTACTTTCTCTTCTCTCTCTCTCTCTTTTTTTTTTAAGATTGTATTTATTTATTTGACAGAGAAAGAGATAGCGAGAGCAGGAACACAGGCAGCGGGAGTGGGAGAGGGAGAAGCAGGTTTCCTGCCGAGCAAGGAACCGAATATGGGGCTTGATCCCTGAGTCAAGGCAGATGCTGAACGAGCCGCCCAGGCACCCCTTCTGTTTTCTTTTCATAAGTTTTTCCACTCATCTTCATTACTGCGATCACTTACATCTATGGGGTTAGATGGTCTATTTTCAGAAACACTGAATTCTTGTGGTTTCTAAAAACCTGTTAAAAAACTATTCTTTGATGAAAGGATCCTGAACATAAAAAATAATGCAACAAACAGCCATGAACCTACCACTCACTTTTAATAAATCTTCATGTGTTACTTTATTTACTTCAGATATTTCTCTTTAAAGAAGGTAAATTATGTTTTTCATATATATTATTTGACAGTGCTTCTTCCCTTCATATAATTTCACTTGCGTTGATATTTGTGGCTCTATTCTGTCGAACTGGACAGTATACCACTCACTATGAATATATTGGAAATATACTACAGGTTAAAAAATCTATTATCCTTTTTATGGATACCAATTTTTCCATTTTCCCCTTTTGCAAGCAATGAAGTATTGGATAGTCTTAGTACTTATATGTAATCTGTCTTTTTTCCCCTCTGGCCATTTAAAAATATTTTTGTCCCTTTTTTAAAAAAAATATTTTATTTATTTATTTGACACAGAGAGAGACACAGCAAGAGAGGGAACACAAGCAGGGGGAGTGGGAGAGGGAAAAGCAGGCCTCCTGGTGAACAAGGAGCCCGATGCGGGGCTCGATCCCAGTACCCCGGGATCATGACCTGAGCCGAAGGCAGCCATTTCACAACTGAGCCACCCAGGGGCCCCAATATTTTTGTCTTTGTTTCATTTTATGCAGTTCCATTAAAATGTATGTTACTATAGAGTTATATCCATTTATCTCAGGTGATTTTTTTTTTAAAGATTTTATTTATTTATTTATTTATTTGAGAGAGAGAGGGAGAGCGAGAGGGAGTGAGAGAGAGCATGAGCAGAGGGAGAAGGACAAGCAGATTCTGTGCTGAGTGTGAAGCCTGACATGGGGCTCAATCCCACGATCCTGAGATCATGACCTGAGCCCAAATCAAGAGTCAGGCGCCCGGGCGCCTGGGTGGCTCAGTGGGTTAAGCTGCTGCCTTCGGCTCAGGTCATGATCTCAGGGTCCTGGGATCGAGTCCCGCATCGGGCTCTCTGCTCATCAGGGAGCCTGCTTCCCTCTCTCTCTCTGCCTGCCTCTCTGTCTACTTGTGATCTCTGTCTGTCAAATAAATAAATGAAATCTTTAAAAAAAAAAAAAAAAGAGTCAGGCGCCCAACTGACTGAGCCACCCAGGCGTCCCACATGTTACTTTTAATACACTTTTCATCTGATGACTCATGCCCTTCTTCAGCTCCAGACAACACCTTGCAGTATTTCCTCTAATATCGCTTCTCTCCAGTTCCCTCCTTTCTCTTCTTCTTTCACTCCAATTAGGTGTATGTTAGAGCTGCTCTGGAAATATTTCATTTCTCCAAATTCCTCCTTATTATTTAAAAAAAATTCTTTCTGTGATACTTTCTTGGTGAATTGAGTTTTTCCCTTGTTTGTGAATTGATGAATTCTCTTTCAATTCACCAATTCTTCCTTCCGGTCTAATGTTCATCTTCCTCATGAGTGTTTTATAGAAAAATTTCAAAGGTGTTTTTTTCATTTTCAAATCTAACTGCTTTTCAGATTCACATATCGTTGCTTCGATCCTGTGTCTCTTTCACACTTAACTTTTTCCTTTTTTAATGAATGAGAATCTCAGTCGTATTTAAAGTCTTTTTTGGGCATTGTTTCAGTATTTGAATTGTTGGATAAGTCTTGAGCATTATGTTTCTTCATCTGCAGGCTCATGTTGCTGTCTGTGGGTTGGGGAATCCCATACTTCAGCTCCCACTAGGCTTATCCCTGCCTTTCCAGTGGGCTCACAGTTGCATCCACCAGCCCCTCAAGGGTCTCTAAACCAGAGCCAGGTAGGTGTTATGTTGGCAATATGGAGTTCTTGTTCTGCTGTTCTCAGTGATGTTGCCAATCTGGTCACATTCCCGGTTACCAAGTTAGCAGTTGGCTTAATTTCTTTCTGATCATAGGCAGTACCTCTGTCCTCCTGTCCCCTCAGCTTGGTAGCTTTGCACAATGCTATAGTGCCAGGTAGCAGGTCTAGCAGATTCCTCTACTTTAGCCGGGATCTAGCATCTCGGGTCCCAGCGGTGGGCACTGCTCCAGTCTCCCATTGGGGCACATTTTTCGTGCCCATGACCCACTGGAGGTCCTTACCACCTACACCTGCTTCTAGCACACTCAGGGCTGAACACTCTAGGATTCTCTTCCCTTTCTGATCTGTGGAGTTATCCAGGTTCTGAGCTTGTATCTTTTCATTGTCTCTTGTATATTTATATGTTAACAGTTCATGTGTGGAGTAGAGTTTTTTCTTTCTTTTTTCATTCTTTTCTTTCTTTCTTTCTTTCTTTTTTTTTTTTTTTTTGAGAAAGAGAGCAGTGGGATGGGGAAAGGGAGAGGGAGAGAGAATCTTAAGCAGGCTCCATGCCTAGCACAGAGCCTGATGCTGGGCTCGATCTCAGGACCCTGACATGACCTGAGCCAAAATCAAGCATCAGATACCTAACCAACTCAGCCACCCAGATGTCCCCAGATGGAGTAACTTAAAGTATGAATTTATGTTATTATCATGATTAGAAGTCATCCATAAGAGCATTAAGCTTTTAAAGTTTTTCTTTTTTCCATTGAGTGTTTGAGATCAATTTTCTTGAAGACCAAAGTTTGTTCATTTGTTCACTCATTGAAAAAGCATTTACTAGATGCCAACTATATGCAAGTACAATATAACAGATGGTAATTTCCAAAGATAACTCTATCGATACATATCACATCATATATGCTCTTTTCACACGTGACAAGGACAATCTTCTATGGAGAGGTGGGGCGTGAGGGCAGACTTTCCTCCCTCAATCAATAGAATGGACCAGAAGGGATATTGTGTGACTTCAAAGTAATAAATAATTGGAACAGTGATGAGTGTTTGAAGAATAAATATAGGCTCTGCAAATATGTAGCAGACAAATCCAAGCCAGTTGGCAATGGAGGGTAGTCGAACTTCTTACTGGGAAATGGTAACTATTTCCCACAATCCCCATCTCCTAGCACAAGGCCTGGCCATGATGGTTGCTCCAAAATATTGCATAACCTATTGTGATTTGTTAAACTTAGTTTCCTCGTGGCAGTCTTCTTTTTTGTTTACTTCATGTCCTGAGAGATACAATTAGCAAAAGGGCAGGTCAGGAAATCCTGGAAACATCCATTCAGCCTCTGAACCACATGACAATTACTATTATCGTTCTTTCACTACTAACTCTCACTCTCTGCATGTTGCATTGTATCGTATGTCCTGCCTCCCAGTGTTGAAAGTGAGCTCTGGTCTAAAACTGTCTGTCCAAGGAAGGGAGAGATACTGAAATTTTCTTCCTAAAATGCTCCAGAATGAATGGCATAGTCTGAATGTGTTGGCAGATATCTTATGCGGCTCTGTCCATTATGACCTATGTCCATTATGACCATTATGACGGAGAGGGCTTTCTCCTTACAGAGGGGCCCCCGAGGTCTTTCCTGTGGCATCAGTGGAGCAACTTTGTCTGTCCATCCCGTGGCCAAGGCAGCAAACGCTCCAGGGGTTGTCTATTACTTAGGGTTGTTGGACCCACTGAATTTGAATTTCAGATAAATAACAAGTCATTTCATACTAGAAGTACATTTAATATATTATTTGTTGTATATCTGAAATTCACATTTAACTGGGCACCTGTGTTTTTATTTGTTAAATCTAGCAACTCTACTGCTAATCAATCCATAGAATACAGAATTAAAGAAGAAAACAAACCACCAAAAGCGTGAAGGCAGGGAGGGGACTAGAATTAGCTGAGGTTTTTAATAAGTAACAGATTATGGAGATGACTCAGATATACTTTTTGTTTTCCCCCTAGGAGTCACTAATTTCCTTTTTCCACATCCCAGGTAGTGAAAATTGTTTTCACTGGGTCCAAGAATTTACATGTGATCAAACTGACGTGGTTAGCCTTGCCTCTTTGCTTTATCCATTTGCATGAAAGCCCTTGGCTTCTCCTGGACTGAGCAAAATGTTCCGTCCTTACCTCAGTTTCGTTGCAGCAGAACACATCTGAGAGGGTGTAGAAGCGAGGGTCCAGGTCAGCAACCGCCGGAGCTGGGTTGAACAATGTTTTCACTGTAGAGGAACAGAAAGGGGGTTCAGTGGTCATCATTTTTTTTTTAAAGATTTTATTTATTCATTTGACAGAGATCACAAGTAGGCAGAGAGGCAGGCAGAGAGAGAGGAAGAAGCAGTCTCCCTGCTGAGCAGAAAGCCTGACGCGGGGCTCAATCCCAGGACCCTGGGATCATGACCTGAGCCGAAGGCAGAGGCTTTAACCCACTGAGCCACCCAGGCACCCCAGTGGTCATCATTTTTAACATGGTGCACTTACAGTCAGTAAGGGAAATCCCCTGTGCAGCCATTTTCCCCATTAGATGAACAATCAACTTAGAAAAGTCTGGAATCTCAATTTCCACGGCGACCTAGTACCAACCCCTTTTTTTTTGTATTTCCTCCATTTTTCACTTTACAACATTTCAACTTCAAGGGCAAGCGACAGCATTACAAGCAAGGTGATCACAAAGTTATGGCAAAGGGCAACAACATTAAAGAAAATTTTAAATGCTGTGGCGTGAAAGGACATGTATGAATGTGAACATTCAGGCTGGTGTGAATGTTTTTGTTCATATATCCATTTTCCAGGAAAGAAAAAGAGCGATGTTAGGAAAGAAATAATGAAGAAGTAAAAAATTTCTTGGTAAGAACAGGATGTAGGAAGTTCATGTACATATGTAGGTTTTGAACACCTATGCATGACTTCCAAATATATCATGATTACTCATGCAAACATAGACTTTTTAAAAAAGATTTTATTTTTAAGTCATCTCTACACAAAAGGTGTGACCCAAACCCACAATCCTGAGATCTGGAGTCGCATGGTCCACCAACTGAACCAGCCAGGTGCTCTGAACATACACTTTTCACAGAAGCTTACGTTCTTGGCAATCTGGGAGTATAAAGGAAAGCCCAAGAAAGGGGCAGAAATTCAATCCAAAGCTGAGAGCTAGCTCATACTAGGATCCTATAAGAGAAGGAGATGGATGGGGAAAGCAGACACAGGGAAAATGAGAATGTCACAGCATTACAGTGTCAGAAGAACTTTTACATTTTTCAGAGGAGAAAAGTGAGTTTCAGAGAGATGAGGTCTAAGGTCATACGCTGGGACATGGTTAAGCTGGGCCCCCATCTGGGGTCCTCCAGCTTTAAGCCCAGTGTTCGATCGACCGATCTCCCTAGGCCAGGACTCTCTTCATGGCAGCACAAGCCCCATCCTGATTTACAATATTTTGAAACAGGCTTTGGGGTGAAATTTTGTAAATACATATTTCTTTGAAAGTCTTTAGAGATTCCACACACAGGAAGCTCCCCCTTTGTCAAAATGCTGATCCGCCAGGGAACCCAACTAGATTGGTTGGTCTTCTTTTCCTCTACCCAGGTCCATGTGTGTTTAGTGACTTATGTGTTTAGTGACCCCAACCTACTACTGACCCATAGAGTCAAATCTTTCATTTGCAGGTCTCAGAGACCCTTCTAGAACAGTGGCTCCCAAGCTGAGCTGCACACCAGCATCACTAAGGGGCTTGTTAGAGTACATGACTTTTGGGCTCCACCTCAAACCCAGTGATCAGAATCTCTTGGGGAACATGTGCACGGATGAGTTCCCCCAGTGGCTTTTCCACGTTCTTTCTCGTTCTTGTTTTTTTTTTTTTAAGATTTTATTTATTTGACAGAGAGGGATCACAAGTGGGCAGAGAGGCAAGCAGAGAGAGAGAGAGAGAGAGGATGAAGTAGGCTCCCTGCGGAGCAGAGAGCCTGATGTGGGACTCGATCCCAGGACCCTGAGATTATGACCTGAGCTGAAGGCAGAGGCTTAACCCACTGAGGCACCCAGGTGCCCCCCTCTTCCACGTTCTTGGGGAGACACTCATCAGTACGGCTGATGGAAACTGCCCAGTACTTCTGCCTGATGAGGGTAGTTTCCCTCCACACCTTCCTTGGCCTTCACATTTTGGTTTGGTCAGTGGATCTTGTCCAGTGGTTTACAAGCTAACGCGATTCCCACATCTGCATTATTTTAGAATCCAGAATGTCCACCCACAGAGATTCTACGGCATATTTTTGGCTGCTCATATTTTTGTACAGGTTACTGCGTAGCTTAAATTAGAAAACGGGTATGAAAGCCCTGTGTAAACTGTAGAGTGTTGTACAAATGTAAGGGATTATTACTGTTATTATATTGTCCTTCACACATAGCCCGACACCCCCGCCTGTCCACCCATCTCTTTTGTCTTCTGTTGGAATTCGTAGCCTGGCAACAGTCTCTCATGGGTGTTCCCACTTCTGCAAGGTCTTAGAGATGTCAATTTTGCATAAAGGCCCTCAATGCCCAGTAATGCAACACCCCCATTTACTTTTTATGGTTCCAGGACAAATACACTGCTTCCTATTTTCTTCAAATGGTGAACTGAAAAAGCACTGTCATGTATTGTGATCTCCAAATCTGTATGGAAAGGCATTTGGGCACAGGGTAGAGCAAGCTACCAGTATGGGAAAACAGCATTAAGCCATTATTATTATTTTTTTTAAGATTTTATTTATTTATTTGAGAGAGAGAGAGAGAGAGAGAGAGCGAGCGAGCATGAGCCAGGGTTGGAGGGGATCCCTGCTGAGCAGAGAGCTGGATGTGGAGCTTGATCCAAGACCCTGGGATCATGACCTGAGCCAAAGGCAGCCACTAAACCGACTGAGCCACCCAGGCGCCCCAGCATTGATCCATTCTTAGAAAAGTTCCATTTTATCTCAAAAGATCCCTGATCCAGCAATTTCTTTTCCAAACCTACCCTACAGACATACACAGGCATGCAAAGATGAGGTCCAGTGATATTCAGCTCTGTTTTTAACAGAAGAAAAACAAAAAACAAAAAACAAAAAGAAACCTAAGCTTCCAACAGACAGGACTGGTTAGGGAAAAAACAAAACAAAACAAAAAAAAACAAACCTCTAATGGAATAATCTGCTGTGGTTAGAAAGAATGAAGCAGATCTCTGTTTTGTTACAGAAAGATTTCTATAATTTGTAAGTGAAAAAAGGAAGTTTTGTAATAAAATCTACAGCATGACCCCCTCTTTTTTCTAATGAAACAAAGCATAATTATATGTGTATTTGTACTTATACACTTGCATAGAAGAGAAAAAAGTGTGAGAGGTTACTCCCTAAACTAATAAGGGATTAGTTCCAAAGGGTGGTGGGAATCAGTCTGCCCAGAGATTCCCTGGTATACAGCGGGCAAAGACAGCATTCATAAAACACATACAGTATCTTACATCAAAACCCAAGCGCACTGTGAATGACATGATATAACGTCTGGCTGGTGCTTCCAAATATAACCCAAGGTTGCAGTGGTGGGGGGGTGGGGAATAGTGCGTTGGGGTGTAAATGCTACCGGATTGGGCACATGTTGAGAATTGTTGAGGCTAGATGATGGTATATATGGGCTTACCATATTGTTCTCTGTATGTCCATATATATTTGAAATTTTCCTCAATAAAAGCACATTTTAGGGCACCTGGGTGGGCTCAGTGGGTTAAGCCTCTGCCTTTGGCTCAGGTCATGATCTCAGGGTCCTGGGATCGAGCCCCGCATCGGGCTCTCTGCTCAGCGGGGAGCCTGCTTCCCCCTGTCTGCCTCTCTGCCTACTTGTGATCTCTCTGTCAAATAAATAAATAAATAAAATCTTTAAAAAAAACACATTTTAAAGAAACAGTTACACTGAATTTTAAGCAATAAGAAGGGTTGCTGGAATAAGAAATCCTACAATTTAATTTGACCATAAACATTATATAAAAAACAACCAAATCTTTGTGTGTATTTTGTTGAAGGAAAGCATTCTGACCAATGCTGGACAGTAACAGGCTTAGAGTGACTAGTAACTAAATTTAGGGGGAAAATGAAAATGCCATAAAGAAATGACTCTTCTTCAGCTCCTGCTACCATAAATAAGTATAAACACTTTACCCTGGTGAAAAAAAATGCGAAGAATGAGTAGATGTTGCTAATCAAAGAAGAATGCATTGGAAGTATGATCGGGGTGCCTGGGTGGCTTAGTCAGTTAAGTGTCCCACTCTTGATTTCAGCTCAGGTCATGATCTCAGAGTCATGAGATCAAGCCCCATGACAGGCTCCTTGTTCAGCACAGTCTGCATGGGATTTTCTCCCTCTACCCCTCCCCTGGCTCTCTCTCTCTCTCTCTCTCAAATAAATAAATAAAATCTTAAAAAAAAGAAAAATGCACATTTGTGATAGATACAGTGGGAAAAATGGTATCATTCTGGAATCATGTAAAAATAAGAGACACAAGCTATACCATGGAGTAACTTGGAGCTGCAGAGTGACGGATAGCACCCGACGTAATCATTGTTCATGACAACATCAGATGGACTAAACTCCTGGTTGTCTCAATGGCACGCTGTCAGTGAGGATCTGGGGAGGCCTATGAGGGCAGCTGCGCAGGTTTCGAGGCAGGAAAATGAGGTGGAAGCTCATAATGGTGTCATCATGGAGGGCAGGAGCAGGACAGTTAAGAAGGCTCTTAATAACTAGCTCAGAGAAACAGGAAGAAGGTCATCCTAAGTAAGGAAGGTTGGGATAACCAAAATGCCACCTTGGCAGTCTCCCTCAAGGGGTTGTTTTCTGTGAGTTGAGGAGCAGCAGAAACACTCAAAGCTTGGGCTATGTGCTAGACAACGTGACCATGAAAGTCAAGGTGTCCAGCCAAGAAGTTTGGTTTTGCCAAAGAGGAAAGGACTACAGTGTCATTAAAAGATATTTTGTGTCCTACCCAGAATTTAATCTTGGCGATCTTACAATCTCAATTATTTATAATTGTTCCTGTAATGTTCCATTTGCTTTGAAATGGATAGAAAGACCAGACCCGACATGCATAATTTCATCACAAGCAGCTGCAGCAGCAGCCCTGCTGGGGGCCTGCCTCGAAGCATCATGACCCAGAGAGGAGGGGGCCATCGAGGGCCACTGGTTCATCTCTGGTGTTGCAGGGCTGTCCGTTTAAAACCAATGCTTTCCTTTAGGTGAAGACAACAGAGTGTTCTGAAACCATATGATCAAAGATGGAGCGGGGCGGGGGGGAGGTTCCTCTTCCCTCTGTATTTTAGCAACTACATATAATCCAGTCATACAATGTGTTTAACTCAGAGTTCATTACTTGTAAGCAGGTAAGGGAGCTATGATAACAGACCCACAGTGGTGGAGGGGAAGGGAAAGGAGGAGGAGGAGTGGGAGGAAGAGGGAGAGGAGGAGGAGGAGGATTTTACCACTTTTCTCTTAGATGGAATACTGCTGATTAGCACACAGGCAGTCTCACGGGGCAGTGGACAGGCCACGCAGTGCCCAACACATCTCTCAGCATTGCCGGCTCTGCTCTGTGATCAGTCCGTGCATACATCCTGACAGGAAGCAGCTGGGAGAGCTCGCAGACCTGTTCTGTTTCACAGAGGCCCAGAGTGAAGAACTCACTGACTTGCGTGTGGTCCCCCATTTACTAAGGGATGGATTCTGGATTCAAAGCCAAACTTCATGACTCTCAAAACAGTGCTCCCTTCACGGTATCACTCTTTTCTGACGTGAGAATGAAAACACGGTAAATTCACACACACACACACACACACACACACACACTCTCTCTCTCTCTCTCTCTCTCTCTCTCTCTCTCTCATGGTATAGAATCTAAGCTGCTTCTGGCCGGTTACTACCAAGGGAGGACCAGCTGAGTTCTAGTCAGCAGAGTATGTTTGTGTGTGTGCGCATGCGTGCGAGTGTTTTATGGGAGCGGGTAAGGGACACATCGTAGGAAGCACTCGAGAGTATCGAAAACACTCAAAGCTGAGGCCACATGTTGAACAAGGTTACAGTTCGTGGATTTTATTTTTCTCCATGAAGGCTCAGCTCCTTGGAGTCAATGGGATGGGGCACTTTGTTTATTTAAAGTGCGTTCTAGAACACAGAAGTTGGGTCTTGGCCTCTGAAATCTGGGTTTCTACACTGACCCTGGTTGAGCTAATTACTTACTCTCCAAGTCTATCTTCCTGCCTTCCGTTCGGGAGAATAATGCCTGCCGTATCTTTGTCATGAGGTTTTTCTGAGGGTTAAGTACATATGAGAGTGCATGGAATTCATACTCAGACATGCTGGCTCTTAGTAAAAACGTGAAGTCAGCTAGTGCTCTTTGGCTTACCATCACTACCCCTGCCCGTTCCCTCCCTACCTGCACCCCGCCCCCCACTTTAAATGCAGGGCTTGAATTCACGACCCTGAGATCCAGACCTGGGCCATCCAGGCGCCCCATACCCCTGCCGGTTCCTGATGCCCCAGGTCCTCCAGCTGCCCACCCAAATGACAGCCCGAGGTCATCTGCCCCTCTGGATAACTCCAGCGTCACCTGTGGCAGGTTAGATCCTCAACCGTGGTGGCCGTACCTTTCTCTCCTCCACAGGCTGGGTAGCTAACAAGGAACTGGACTAGGACAGAGGCAACAGTGATCTCTGAGAAGCGAGCGAGAGTAGGAAATGGAGTTAGATGAGAATATGCCTTGACCTACAGAAAGCAAGACAGGAGTGTGAATGAAGTGGCGTGTTGTATCCACATTGCTTGATTCACATGAAGGCAGTGCAGGCAACGCTTACCAGAAGCATTAGGCTCTCTCTGTGACACCCTGGGAAAATGTAACCAAATGGGTTTTGGCTTCGAATTCTTTCTGACAGCTTCAAGTCCATTAAAAATACATTAAATGTCAGTGAGAATTTTGCCACAGCACGTTGTTTTGCCAAGAGGAAAATTTGTTAAATCTGGCCATACATTTAAAGATTCTCTACAAAATCATTTCAAGTAACTTCCTTTCATTGCTATGCAGAATGCTGTCGACTTTGGGAGTAGTGACTTATACAAACACACACACACACACACACACACACACACACACACACACACTTTTACTGTTCTTTTTCTTCCCTTCTCTTAGTTTTGTATCTTGATGAGAAAGTTTCATGTGGAAAAGTCAAAGAGGTTCTCGTAAGTCACAGAACTACAGTTGCAATATCATAAGGAAGCCATTGTTTTAGAGTGACGACTTTCTATTTTGATTTTTTTTTTTTTTGACCAAATGGTGTTGAGATCTGGATATTACCCTAATTTTTAAATTTAAAGAGAGAAGTGAAAAGGAGAAGCTATTTGGGATTTATTGAGATTTTATTTTATTATGTCATGCTCAGCATCATGTTTTATTTTATTTTGTTTCCTTCTTAGAAGAACAATTCTGCAGGGGAGTATTTCTTCTATAAGCATTTCACAAACAAGGCTCAGAAACGTCGGATAATTCTGGAGAGACCACAAAGCTAAAAAGGAACGGAAATGGGATTCTAACTCAGAAGATGCTTTGCCCACGAGTCAATGGTGAGCAAGAAACAAACACAAAGAAACTATTTGGATTTTTTAAAGAGTTTGTGATTTGCAGGGGGAGAAAGGGGGGCAGTAAGTGGGAGGACAGATGAATCAACTTTAGCCACGTGCTGGTTAATTGTTGATGCTGGGTGAAGGGTTTCACTGTGCAATTCTGACCGCCTTTGTATGTTTGAAAATTTCCAAAATTGAAGGTCAAACAAAACCAACTCCCTGCTTAAAGGCCACTGACAACATAGAAAATACTACATATAAATAATCTTTCGTGGTTTATAGAGCAGAGATGGAGTTTTAGAAAATGGAGAAAGAGCTAAGCTTCAATTCCTAGAGACATTTGTCAAAATACACCCACCTGTCTGGTCACGATACATGACGTGCACCTTAGCCTCTGCTTCTTGGAAAAGCCATCATTCTGCTGTTGGGCCCTGGGCTGCTTCTGAGGTTCTAGTCGCTACTTGTATTATTTCTAACTAGACTGAGGATTTATATCGTGGGATATCAGTAGTGCTACTCAGGTTACTTTTTTACCCTATCTGTAAGCCCTTCTAACACTATCAAGAACTATGAGAAGACTGTGACTCTGACGGGTGGAAGAAAGCATATTTCACTCCAGGGAAAGGATTGCTTTGCTTGAGAGACTACCTTTCCCTAAAACAGCGACAAAAGCTTTTCCAGGAAGAATAACAAATACGGAAAATCACCTCCATTGCTGTGGGCCATCATCAGGGCTTCCAAAGACGTTTCTGGAGTTATTTCTAACTGGCAGATCATTACTTTGGCTCTGCTAATGCTCCTGGCTGCTTTCTTCAGGTCTTCGGTATTCAAAAGTAAATTGGCTCCAGCCACTATAACAATGATGTTCTGGCCTATAAAGAATTTCCACATATTTATATTAAAAACCAAGCGATGATATTCTGCAATGTTACAATCACCCTTACAAGGTCATTATACTAAATGTGTTATAAGTATTAATTTTGACATTTCGAGGTGATTCAGGTGAAATTCTAGTTTTCTGTTGTATCTTTGTGGATCCCTGCTCTGTAAGATTAATATTATTGTCATCATTTTGAGTAAAATAAAAAAAAATTCCCCTATCAATATTCTTGTATACAAAGAAAACTAGCTGGAAGGTGATACCTAACAGTTAAAAATGACGGGTACAAAGCATGTGGTAAAGATTCCAAATCCGAAATGACAGATGTCATAATGATGTGTATGAACAGGAGTAAACTTGCCCAACACTGAAAACCAAGGCTCTGTGGTACGCAGTCAGTTCGCGTGTGCACCTAGGATATTCTGAAAATCAAAACATGTTTTGTAATATGTAACAGATGGGAATTGTGCCAGATCACCTAAGGTCGAGAGAGGGATATTTGATTTAGGCTGCATCAGATCAAACAGAGGCAGAAGGGGCGCCTGGGTGGCTCAGTGGGTTAAAGCCTCTGCCTTCAGCTCAGGTCATGATCCCAGGTCCTGGGATCAAGCCCCACATTGGACTCTGCTCAGCGAGGAGCCTGCTTCCCTTCCTCTCTCTGCCTGCCTCTCTGCCTACTTGTGATCTCTGTCTGTCAAATAAATAAATAAAATCTTAAAAAAAATTTTTTTATTATGTTCAGTTAGCCAACATTCAGTACATCATTAGTTTTCGAGGAGGTGGTCAACGATTCATTAGTTGTGTATAACCCCAGTACACAGAAGATTTTAAAGACTGAGTACAAAAAAAAAGAAAGAAAGAAAAATAAGGAAGGCAAAATATCTCACTCGTTTTTAGGAATATTTTGATTACATGTTGAAAAGAATATTTTCGATATATCGGGTTAAGTGAGGATATTAAGATTAATTTTACCTATTTCTTTTGACTTTTTAAAATGCGGCTCATGGAAAATTTCAAATTATGTCTGTGGCTTGCATGATATTTCTTTTGGACGGCTCTGACCTAGAGGGACGAGTTGTAGCAGTCATTTCTTTTTTGTGCTCCAGGCTGCTCGTGCTGATCTTGTATAGACATGTCCTAAAATTACCTCTGAACACAGAACACATGCTAGCCTATCATCTTACCACAGATGTGTCTCTTGGCCACAAGGAGGACTTAATAAAGTGGGGATGGTTTAGCATAAACCCAATCTTGGTACTGGAAAAATTCAAAGTACCCACACACTGAAAGACAGCCTTCTCTTTCCTTTTCTCCTTCAGTGACCTCATTCTCTCTGCTAGAGTCAACTGGTGTTTCTGTGTTGCTGATTCCTGGATCTATGTTTCTGGCCCGGCTGAACCGAAGACAGTGTCCGATAGACATGGCCAGATGGCAAGACCATTCATGCCATCAATTTAACTTGTCAAAACTGAACTCCTTACTTTACCTTGCTGCTCATTCCTTCACTTAAGGGAGCTGATGGTCCCCTCTCTGGGTATTTGTGTTAGCTCTTCTAGGACAATCTATAGTCTCAAGGATATTACCATATACGATAAATAAATCAGACAAGTTCTAGCCTAACAGGCACTCAATACACAACATTAAACTACATCTTTGCATGGAAAGTGTAGTTTCTTGCAACATCGGTAAGGATGAAATGGAACTCAAAGATACCCCGAGAACACAAAAAAGGTTGAAGACGGGGAATGAACTGCTGTTGGCGGCAATGATTACTTAAAATGTAGCTTTAAGTAATGAACACAGACGGTCTATTGTTAGAGTGAAAAATTTAATCTGCTTTAAGTGGAATACATTTTTTTAATTGTTGTTATTGCCACTTTGGGATCGCGAGAGTAGAGCTAAAAATACTGTATCTTCTGTGAGAAACGATTGTATGAAACTATATTACAAATCAAAGACATATTCTGACAAATCATAATTCCACAAAATGCATGCTGACTGCCCACGATGCCCCAGGTTCTGTCTGAAGTGCCCCATGAAATGCTTGGTCCTTAATTCTGAATTAAAGAATTTCACACAGGTTTAAAAATTTTTTTAAAAATATTTAAAATAGTTGGCAGAAATGATGAAAAGTTTACTGGAGGGTAAAGGGAAGTTACTGTTTTTCAAGATGAATGTTTTAACTGTCGCAAGGCCCTGTGACAGACAGACATAGCTGTATATATAGACTTTTGAGGGTTGATTGCCGTTTAAAGAGCAGACAAAATTGAACACTAATGCTAACTTAGAAGTAATTAGTTGCTGCCATTTGCTCAGTAAATATTCTATAAATATGATTCATTAACTTCCTTGTGCACCTATCTACTTACATTTATTTACCTAGTATAAGTGAAATGACAGATGAATACTTAACTGCTTTTAGAGACAAATACCAATGCTGTATTCACAAGAAGGATAATGGGACGTTTCACCATATAAATATTATTCGGAGGCAACTGTAACACTTTCCGTGTATTGGATGGCCAATTTTATATTTAAATGATCAAGTTGGGAAGTACAAATAAAGGGAAATATGCATAGTTAGATGGGAAGGACCACACTTGAGGCCTTGGGGCGGTGGGTATGGTAAGAGACCCATAGGATTACGGTAAAAATCGATGCTCCTGCCCTAGTTCTGGACACGAACTGCTTCACGAAATGACACTTCAATATGCGAAACACGTACCTTCGTTATTGACAATTATAGACGCAGTTCCTGTAGCAGCATCTTGAGTCTGATATGCAAATTCTAAAAGAAAAAAGAAATTACAATCATGTACACACAGCCTGGCATGGATAATCTCTTTTAGCGATTTCAATGCACCACTCATCTTTGGAAAAACTTTTTAACCTTTAACCATCTGGAATGATAAAAGAAATAAGCAATTAGCGCTAATTTATACCCATCACCTATACAGTGAGGAAGACCGAAGCCTTTACGCTTAGTTGCACCTTTGCTCTACAGTACGAACAACCCCCCTTCCAATTCATCCACATTATTCATAGAGGATACATGTGCATTTTTCTAGACCATCACATTTCTTTTCTTCAGTGAAAGAAATGATAGACTTGAGAGATTAAAGGTCAAACCTATACAATGAACTCAGTTGCATTTCTTCATAAGCTTTGCATCTCATCAAGAATCATGGTCTGGAGTGTAAATGGCAATGTTGATCAGGCGGCCTTTCGCAGCAGCGAAATAGCCTTGAAATGGAGCCAAAGACCTGCATTCTACTCCTGCCTCTGGCTCCAACTGGCTGTGTGCTCTTGGACACGTTGAGAACCAATCTGGCCTTCAGTTTCTCTTTTGTGCAATGATGGCATCAGCTTCAGTGGTTTCAAAGATCATTTCCAGCCGTGACATTCAAGGACTTTTCTTAAAATATCTTTTGTGAACGCAGCACCTGTTTTCTCTTGTCACCTGCTTTTGGAAACATTTCTACAAGATGAAGGTTTGTAACCTCTTATCATTTTATTCCCATCTGGAGGAATATACATGAAAGAATTAACCAAACGACATTTAAGTAAGACAAGACAAGTCTGCGCATAAAAATTCTCTGGCCACCAGAGGAGGATCTAATAATTCTATTCTATATTCAACTCTACTTGTAGCCAGATCCCAGGGGAAAGTCATAAAAAGTAACTTTAAAAAAGATGCAATTTTACCTGTAGTAATATCGTTCTGTTTTAAGTTTTCTATATAATCATTGCCAAAAGAATCTTTGCCAACCTGTACCAAAAAAAAAAAAATGATGAATGTTAGATCTTTTACATTTAGTAAAATGCTACAATGTAGCTTTTAGAATACTTAGCATTTTAAAAGGGCATATCTGCACAGTACTTTATAAACATTAGCTAATTAATCTTCTTAATGTAAGATGCTAAACTTGATTTCAGCCCAAAGAATTGTTCCACTTACATCCTACCTAAAACGTGAAGCATTTAATGACTGTCACGAGTTCTAGAACTTTGCTCTCATTTTGATCTGTTCGTGTGGAAACTCCCACTAAGACAGAGCTGTCTACCATCAACAGTCTTCAATATTTATGGAGAATCTCAGTTGTTTGTACTTCACTATAAACGAGAGCATCTTTGTAATGACTTGCCTGGTGTTTTGGAATCTTCTTATCTGACACAGGATGGGGGCAGAGAAGAGGGAACTGAAAAAGCCCTCGATAACTTGGGTAACTGGGTATCATGGAAGTCTGTTGCTTTTGCCTCCTTGCCTGCATTCTGGTAATGATACTTCGGTTCTCTCCTGGGACACCCATTCCTCTTCCATTCATGGGCAAAGTGGTTAAGGTGCCACATCTGTAACAATCAGTAATCCCATGTTTGCCACATTGTTGCCACCCAGACTCCATAGTTTACCTTAGGGTTCACTCCGGTGTTGTACACTCTATGTGTTTTGACACACGCATAGACAGGTTATCCACCATCATTATTATTATCTTTTTAAAGACTTTATTTATTGACAGACAGAGATCCTAAGTAGGCTGAGAGGCAGGCAGAGAGGTGGGGGGAAGCAGGCTCCCCGCTGAGCAGAGAGCCCGATGTGGGGCTCGATCCCAGGACCCTGGGATCATGACCTGAGCTGAAGGCAATGGCTTACCCCCTGAGCCAGCCCCAGCAACCACGGATCTTTCTACTGTCTCCATAGTTTTATCTTTTCCAGAATGCCATATCATTGGAATCATACAATACGTAACCTTCTCAGACTGGCTTCTTTCACTTAGAAAATACATCGAAGTTTCCTCCATGTCTTTTTGCGGCTTAATCACTCATTTGTTTTTAGTGCTGAAAAATGTTCCGGGGTACGGGGTGGACTGTGGTTTATCCATCCACCCACTGAGGGACACCCTGAGTTGCTTCTAAATGTTGGTAATGAGAAATTAATGTGCTGGCTTTTGTGCAGATGCCCGATTTTATTTTTATTTTACTTTAATTTTAGTGTAGTTAATGTACAGTGTTATATTGGTTTTCCTCCTATTTTATTTTAAATTTTAACCAGCTGTCACCATTTAAGTATTAGTGGACTTCACAAAAACAAATTTCCAGGAGGTCCTGAAAATCCCGAGGTTCTAGTAATACTGGGCCCACATTCTTGCAAGGCCACCCCAGCTGGAACTGCCCCAAAGGTGAGCGCATGCTCTCCAGACCACAGCCCCCACCTGGCCTCCTGTAATTTATGTTACCTGCCTGGCACCTGTCGGCTTTGGGCTTGCCACTCCTGAACTACTATCTCTCTGTCCCGCAAGTGAGCACTTCAATGGATGATGTATCTGTCCGGGTCTCAGCCACTCCCAGTGTGCTCTGCTTTTCCGCAGAAAATCATTCCTTTCTGGATATATCAATAGAAAGAAACCTACAGGTTTACTTGCGTCAAGATCCTCAACGAGTGATGAGAAAACTTCCTGGTGAGATCCTGGATTGTCTAGATCAGGGGTTGGAAAATTTTCTTTTCTAAAGGGCCGGAGAGATAATAGTTTAGACATTTTGGGCCAGATCGTCTCTTTTGCAACGATTCAGCTCTGCTGTTGTTGTGTGAAGGCAGCCAAAGAAAATCTGTAGACAAATGGATGTGGCTGTGTACGAATAAAACTTTATAAAAATACATGGTAGGCAAGATTTGCCCCATGGGTGATAGCGTGCTGACCCTTGATTTAAATGCCACCTCTAAGAACTTCTTCCTCAAAGGACATTTTCCCGTGCTCCTTTCCTGGCAGAAATACGGATTAGGCAATAATCTGGAAAGATATATAATAATTTCTTTCTTTTTTTACAAAATATTTTATTTATTTATTTGACACAGAGAGAGATCACAAGTAGGCAGAGAGGCAGGCAGAGAGAGAGAGGGAAGCAGGCTCCCCACTGAGCAGAGAGCCTGATGCGGGGCTTGATCCCAGGACCCTGAGATCATGACCTGAGCCGAAGGCAGAGACTTAACCCTGAGCCTCCCAGGAGCCCCTATAATAATTTCTTATTAGCAGAATTTCTATCTCTACAATGAAGAGCGTCCACTAGAAAGCACTGCCATGGGGGAGAGTTCCCTGGTTGAAGGACGTCATCTATCAAAGGTTTTCTTCATGGAAGGCTGACCATCAACCAAAGCATCCCATTTCTTAGGTCAAAGATTCATACCAGAAACTACTTTTTTTTTCTCTCTTTTTTTAAAACATCATTTAGCTGTCTTCCATGGGCAATCAAGACACTATAGAGTTGGGAAGGCATCGTTATGAGAATGTTGTAGGGATTAAAGGAAGGCCATTCTTAGGCATGTGGGGCCTGGTACAGATTAGAGCGAAGAAACTTCTCCCCCCTTTCCTATCAGTTTAATACAGGAGAAATCAGTACCACCCACTCCCCCTGGGAAAAATCTGTTTAAGGTGAATTTCAAAGGCATGTTTGATAAATGGTGTGGTGATATAAATATTAGGAAGTGCAGGGATTAGGAAGATTGGTTGGAAGGGAGGAAAAAACCAAAAAGCATGCGGTTTTGCCCTCCAGAAACTGTCAGAGGGAAAATAAGACAGGGCAACTGTCCCGCCAAATGGAATACTGCCCCCATCCAAGGCGAAATTAGGAAGGGACGGCATGCTCACGGTAACTGCATTTTGCAGGCTTGCTGCAGTGGTATTTTATTTTTAATTTTTTGTGAGGCTTGAACTCACGACCCTGAGATCAAGACCCATGAGGTCAAGACCTGAACTGGGATCAAGAGTCAGATGCTTAACCAACTGGGCCCCCCAGGCACCCCATGCTGCAGTCCTGTTCCTCCTCCGGGAGTCCTCTGATGGGCTGTGCCCCCCTGGCACACTGATGGTTCCAGTTTTAGTCCAACAGTGACTTCCTGGCAAACCTGTCGGCTGACGTTCTAACTCTATGTGAGACTTGGAACAAACATACTTTGCCTTTGCCCTCTTGAATATTCCCATGACAGAAATAAAAATCTGGTAACTAAAAAATAATGGCAAAATAACACCACTGCGGAGGTTCAAGAGAAGGCAACCTCAGCTCCGTCAACTTGGCCTCAGGGACATGGTGACACATTCCCAAGTAAAAGAACTGATGAGAAGCCTCCGAACAGGAAGGCAATATTCACATTTCTGTTCTGTAAGTCAGAAGCCCCTTCCCGACCCCTGTGGTTTGGGGCAAGCCGCTCTAACGGCCTCTTGGTCTTAGTCTCCTTATCTGGAAAGTCACAGCAAGTTTGCTGCAGGGATGAAATAACACGCGTGAAGCAGCTTGACAACTGTGAAGGATTCAATAACGGCTTGGCACTATCAATGTCACGGCCATCGTCCCCATCCTCATCATCACCAGGGCAGTCCTGCTGCCACAAGGGCTGCTTCCCTTGCAGGGAGGGCACGGCTCCTGCTGCTTGGATTCAATCTTTTTTTCTTTTAATTTATTTATTTGACAGAGAGAGAGATCACAAGTAGGCAGAGAGGTAGGCAGAGAAGCAGGCTCCCTGTTGAGCAGAGAGCCCGATGCGGTGCTCGATCCCAGGACCCCGGGATCATGACCCGAGCCGAAAGCAGAGGCTCTAACCCACTGCGTGACCCAGGCGCCCCGGAGTCAATCTTTCTTATAAACTACATTCCTGCCTATCTGGTTCTCCCCGGTGCTTCCAATTCTTCCTGCTGCTCCCTATTTTCAAACCGAAGAGTACCTGGTCATGGAAGCAAGCATGTGGGTGCACTGAATTACTTTAAAAATAAGACTGTATTACTATTATTGTAATGAAAACATAACGTCTGCATTAATGGTGAAACTAATGCCGTTTAATGTAACCAGGTCTCCTGTTACTTCCGTGAGACTAACACAGCCAACCGTGAGCATGTCTGTGTCTCAGACATACCTATTTTTTATAGTGAAATGTAGGCAAAAAGCAGCAGAGATCTGAGGCCTCTTTTTTCTTTCTGCATTACAGAGTAGCACGGATGCTTTGGGCAACGTCATCCTAAAAGAATGCCCTTTTCCCTGTTTCCCCACCCTCAAACCTTTTACGCAATCATTTATTCTGCTGGATTGACTTTAAAAAAGGTCAAGAGGAGCGAACACCTTCCAAACCCCTTTAGCTGCTTCTGCCTCAAATGTAAGCCTCTTCCCCAGGAACTGGAAATTCATAACCAGAAATCAGAGGGGTGGGACCTAGGCTAAGGTGTCACGCATTGCCTCATTGAGAGCGGGCGAAAGTATCTTGAAAATCACAGTGAATGACACAAATGGAATGATCTGTAATGACTGTGAATGAAAATCACAGTGAAGAATTCTTGAATACTACCTCTGAAACTAATGATCTGGCTAACTGAATTAAAATTAAAAAAAAAAAAAGAAAAAAAGAAAATCACAGTGAATGATTTCAAACGGTCCTTGAAACAAAAAGGACTTGACATCGTAATTCCAGAGGAGAACCTCTTTAGGTATTTTTGGAGGCTTCTCTGTCTTCCCGGTCACATTTGCCTCTCAAATTGATAAGAGAACTTTAAGTGTAAGTATCTCGGCTGTAAAAGCAAAATAGTGCGACTGGGAGTCAGGAAACTTGGAACTGAATTTCAGTTCTGCCATTATCAGGCTAGTTAAAATTCTTTACGTTTTGGCGGCAAACTGTTCCACCTGAGCCAGATAGAGTGGGACTGGGGTGAGTTCTGTCCCGCAGGTAGGAAACCGGTAGTTCTCAGTCTTCACTGAGTGTTAGAGCTCCGGAGCAGCTTACATACATCCTGG